TTACGTCCTGGAAAAGGTAACGAGTTTCTTAGAATAAGGTTCTCCCCATTTTAATCCTTATAGGGTTAACTTCCAGGGGTTCCATGACAATGCAAACGCAATGGCACTGACTGGTGATTTTTACTATGTTAATATATGTTACCCAGGGAAAAGGTCACCTTTGACATGAGCTCCTAGATTCGGGGGGGGGAGGGGGGGGGGGGGGGGGGAGGGGGGGGGGAGGGGGGGGGGGCTCATCTCCTGGCCAAGGAAACATCCCTAAACCACAGTCTCTTGACATTGCTATTGGCTTCTAATGCAATATTGGTCACCTCCGTTTTGCTTTCCCTTGTTTTTCCTGTGATGGCGCGGCACCTGCACCATGTCCCATACATTTAGGATACCGTGTCAAATGCACTTCCACAAAACATGCTGATGTGCAAGCCTTTTCTCACTCCATTCGACTGCGGTTCCTAAAGTTTTGGGTATCAATCCAGAGACATTCATACAGCTGTGAACTTGACACGACCCATCAGAGTACTCCCCCTCAGGCTATCTTCTGCCCTAACTGTGCGTGCATCAACCATGGGCAACCTTTGATGTTACCTTTCTTTCCACCTCAACCTAGTTTCCTTAGCCCACACAAACAATGAGAATGCAATTTCCCAGGGCACAGGCTTCTATTACCGAGAGGGACGTGAGCTCCAGGGATGTCTTCCTTGCAAGTGGGGAACCCCAGACCTGGGCGAAGATGGCACTCAACCCTGAGAGTATGTGCAGGAGCATTCCTGGAAAGCAGATGGGCCCTGCGCTGTCTCCCCAACTGTCCTGAACCCCAGATACCACGTCTGGTGAGTACCCTTCCCTCTCAACTGCTGTCGTGGGAATCCCTTAAGGTTTGTGTGTGGGTGCTAAAAAAGGTTAGGACAAGGAAAAAATACGGTAACATTTGTAGGAATGTTCTCAGGACAGCATTCCTTAATAGAGATTCCTATAGCCTTGAAACGTATGCCTACACACTCAGTATGGTCGCCCACCATCACGAATTCAAGATGGCATCAGAAAATCATCCAATGCCCTTGAGACCTACTGAGTACATTGAGAGATAAACTCCTGCTCAGTATTATCATGAAGAGAATACTACCATTGTGCCAGTACTCCTGTTCCTGGTCTTGCTTGGTCCTCACACCAGTTATCCAAATGTTAACCAGAGAGAGTCGTTGAAATGCTCTTCCTATACTCCTGTTTAACGTCCAAGCAGTTTCTCCATTTCTCGCTTCTACTCCTACAGTGTTCACTCAGAAGAAGCCTGTAGCCCGGCCCGTCTGATAGTACTCCAGGAAGCAAACAGTGAAGTCTAATGTGGCTCTTTGCCTGTCCAACTCAGGGTCTCCCTGGCGAGGGACACAGATGATCGGGACGTGGAACTCCTGATTACTACAATGCAGGTGCATGCCCCCAGCGTAGCTGTGGAGATGGGGCTGCCGAAATGAAGCCAGTATTTTCTTTTCTTTGTAGCACTGCAGGTGTAATCCTGTCTTGGAGTTATCTCAATTACTCTCACTTTTCTCTTTCGAGTACAGAAACATACCACATAAACATTCAAATAGCTTACACATGCGCATGCAAAATGTTAGAGTTATTGAATATCATGTAGTCATGACATGTAGGCAAACTTAACAAGATCAGTAGAAAATTGGGCAAAGGATTGAAACAAATAATTCACAGAAGAAAACACAGCCAGTTTATAAGCATGTGGGACAGTGATCAGTCTTACAATGGAAATTGCAATGAAATTCTATTTCATTTGAAATGCAAATAATAGTAATCATATGGCATTTTCACCTTTCAAATTATCAAAGATTTCCAAATCTGATAATCCCTCATGGTTTAAATTATGATGAATTTGGCACTGTCATAGATTGCTTGAAGCAAAATGATTTGGTATCAACTTTTTGAGGAGAAATTTGGCCCTATGATTCAAATCTGTGTTCATTTTGGTTATGTCCATTTGGGGGATCTTACCTAAGGAAATAAACCTAAATATAGGTAAAAATATGAACTGAGCTGTCCCCTGACATTTTAATGATATAAAATAGTAGTAAACAATCATGTTTTTAAGTGGCTAAATGTACTTTTCAAGGTATACTTGAAATAATTTGGAAACAAGACCTCCAAAGAATGTTAAGTAAAAGAAAAGTAAGTTATACAGGCTAATTACCACAATAAAACAACTTATGCATTAGGAAAAACATTTAAAAACACAGGAAGTATGCAAGTAGTAATTATGATTAGATTAAGACTGTTTAGTTCCTTGATTTCTTTCTGTAATAAATAACTTTTATCGATTGATTCATCACACATGTAGTGTCACCTGGAGTTGTTTTCTTATTGTGGTAAAATACGCATAACAGAATTAACCATTTTAGATATTTTAAGTGTACAGTTCTGTGGCCTTAAGTACATTCATCTTGTACAGCCATCGCCATCATCCATCTCTAAACTTTTTTATCCTGTCCTACTTTCTCACTTTATTTTAATGTCTCTTATTTTTAATTGTAATGTTTCTTATTTTTAATGTATTTTTAAAAATATATATGTATTTTTTCTTATAATTAAAATTGTTGTATCCCGTGTTGATCTGTTTTGCTCCTGGGGCCTTCCTGGGCCGCCACGCCAGTGGATTTCAGGGACCACAAAGCAGGACTGGAGGGATACTGCCACTTACAAAGCATGTTGCACAGGATGGAGTGGAAGCTTCCTTGTTCACAGTCATTGTTAATAGTGATTGTTAAAGTGATGTGGCTTGGTTAGGCTCTCGCTCTACAACTATAGCTGCTAGGAACACATTCCCGGTAGTTGGTTTTCAGC